CTGTTTTTCACAGTTATTTGTTTTTAAGCCTTTCTCAATGAGAGTTCCCTGTGAGAATTAAGCCCTAATCCCCTAAGGCACTTTTTGTATATAAAGAATTAACTTCTCTGTTAAGCATCTAGAATGGTACCGGTTATGTAGAAATGGTAGAATTGAGAAACTTGTTAGTCAATTTATTTTCTGTTCTGTGGTTCAGATGAGGAACCCTGGGTGAGACATCTTCTCCCTTTGTTTTAACTGGCTTGACCCATGTTTTTGTCATTATTTGGATCAAATTTTCTGCCTTGAATCAGCTGAGATTTATTTTAATATGTGAAATAGTCATACAATTTCCTCCAATCAGCTAGCTGGTTGTTCCAATACAATTTATTTAATAGTCTGACTTTATCCTTTTAATTTTAAAATAATTTTTCATACAGTAAGTTCTCATATACGTATATATGGGACAGTTGTGGACCCTCAATTCTTTTCCATCAATGAGTGGGTCTATTCCTGTACCAATACCACGTGTTTTAATTACTGAAAATTTAGGGATTATTGAAACCTTTAAAATGTTGAGTTTTCTTATCCAAAAACAAGGTATTTCTTGTCATTTTTTCCAGACTTCTCTTATGTCCCTCAGGAAAAAGAAATTTTTAAATCAAATCTTAATAGGAGTTTTATAAATTATAAAAGTAATACTGCTCTTTGTAATGAGACAACTCAAAAGGAAAAAAGAATATATATCAACATGGATCAGTCACAAAAAGCTTACATGGAGCAGAAGAAAAGGTTCAGAAAAATACCTGAATGTATCATATGCCATTTATATAAAGTTTTAAAATATACAAAATGATATGTATATGATACATATGTACCTTTTGCATATTGTAGTGCATACATATGAAGTAAAATATGAAATCATGCACATGAATGACAAACACCAGTTTTGGCAGGGGAGCACAGTGTGATCTAGGAGATGTACACAGGGCTTTTCAACTCTATTTGCTATGTTTTATACCCAAAACTGGATAGAGGTTACCTTTGTGTTTATTATATTACTACTTAGAAACAGTTTAATTCTTATGGAATCTAGATTTCTGGGGTCCATGGAATTGGGGTAACCCATCCAGGCTGTTGCCCTGAGATGTTCTTTGGAACCTTGAGCCTTGAGGAAACTGGTTTCCTAAAGTCACCTTTGACACAAACAAATGTCTGGATAAATTGGTAAAGACCGTTTGCCTTAGATGTTGTGCCCTCTTACAGAATGTTCTATGAGCAGTCAGTTTTGAGAAACAGAAACTCCACTGTTCAGACTAGAGCTATGTTTTAGGGTAAATCAGTAATTATTTTGATTGTTCTTCAAGACAATGCTGTATGAAATCCTTCCTGACCACAAATTGTTTATCAGTTCTATTCCACCCTGTTTCCATGGCAATGTTGTAAGACGGGATATAAGAATCTTTGGAAGTTCTTTCCTCTCTGGAACATTTTTGACTCCCTAGTCGAAATGCTACCCTGATTTGCAAATCATATATTAAATAAACTTCAATCAGTTTCCACTATTGGCTTAATGGGATTTTTGTTTTACCAGTACTAAACTTTTTTGAATGTGTGAAATATTTTGTAATAACGATCTTTCTCTTATCAATCCCTATTGGTTTCTACCATCATGAGATAAACAACATCATGTGTATCTGTTCACAACTTATTTATGCTCAGAAAAATATGCACATAACACAGTCATGATTTTCCTTTTAAAAATAAAAATGGATTCTACCATGTATATTAATCCCTTAATGTCTTTTTAAAATTAACATATTTTGTAGACTTCTTTCCAAGTGGATTCATATAGATTTCATTGTTTTCACTGCTGTACACCGTTGCATGTGTGCCACTTAGCTATTTCCCTATCAATCATTCAAGAGTCAGAGCTGGTTTGGTGTTTTATTTTGCCACTGCAGTTGTTTTATTAAATAATTTTTTTAAAGGTAAAATCATGACTCTCATAGAGATATAAAATAAACATGTGTTGAAGATTTTATTTAACTTGAAATTAGTGAGAACACCCATAAAGATGTGAAAACCAGTTCAAAGGACAATCCAAAGAACCAACACTTTTATAGAT